GCCCCAGTCAGTGACTCTGAGCCAGAGTACTGTGAGTCCCCGAGGCTCCCCATGACCTTGTGAGGACACAAAGGAGAGCATGTCCCTCTCTCACAGTGGTCTCTCTCCTGCAGCAGTCTCCCTCTCTGGCCCTGGGGACCCCACTTTGAGTCATGCATCCTGCTCAGCAGAGCAGCTGAAGACTGCACCCCAGCTGTCTGCAGGGAAGCGCACTTCCTTCCAGATCCCCCAATGGCAATTCTCTTTGCTGGAAGAGTGAATGCATCCATTAGGGTTGGATGTCTCTCTTTTCCATAAAATAATAGCTCTGGGCAAGCCATCAGCTATCCCAGGAGTGAAAGACAAACAGTGGAGATTTCAGTGTCATTTTCTGACATGGATCAGAAATAGGGCAGGAGAGACAGGAGACAAATACTCTTCCAGGCCCTCTCCCCCAAGTATACACACCCCGGATTGAGCAGGGAGAGAGCTGGAGGAGAGAGTGAGGGGTGCTCCCCGGAGGACTGAGACAAGACAAATGGGTCCAACCTACAAACGTGGACAACTGATTTTATTGCCAGAGTTTTTAATTTGGTATCCCTTAAGATAAATCTGGCCGACAGATGTGTTTTGTTTGGCCAACACAATGGTTTAAAAAATTTTGAATTATTGCCAACTTTTAAAAATTGAGAGACCGGAGTTGGGCTTCCACATTGTTTGCTGCACTGGGCAGCTCCTGTGGGTTGCCGCGTCCTTTAAACAGGGGGGCTGCTTGCCCAAGACCCCCCAGTCTGACCTCCCTCGTCTCCTCACCTGATAAACACTTTAGCTTGTAAGCCATGGCTTCTAGTAGGCTCAGACTGGGCAATTAACGAACTCAATGTGAGCAGCAGGCTTCATGTTTACCTAATTGAGAAGTGAGCCATGAGGGAACTAAGGAAAGTTAGATCAAGAGGGAGATGTGTTACCAGGCTGTTGAGGCTACCTGCTTGCAGGCAGCTTATTCTCTGTCATAAGGGGGTGAGTTCCCCATCAGAAGGGAGCCTTCCCCTGCAAACCAGCTCTTGGTACCCAACTGCAAGGCATCATTGGTGTATTCGCATCAGAATTGTGAATTATGTCTGAGGCCATCCTGCTTCAGGTCAAATCCCATCAACAGTCAACTCAGGGACTGGAGAGAGTTTTTATTAGAAGGGAGTTCATTTTCTCTTCTTTCCTCCCTCGTAAAAAACAAACTCCATGGAACACTAGGGTCAGCATTCTTAGATTAAGACAATTGCCTCTGTTTACTTTGACACAAGAGCTCAGGGTCCTGACTCCATTCTTACCCAAGAAACAGATTTTCAGTGTTTCTTTGTTAAACAGATGGTTTATCCAGAGTGCATGGCTTGCATGAAAAATGGTTTTCCATGTTCTTTGTGTTCATCCTTCAAGTTCACGGCCATCACCCATCAGCACCTGGGAGTAGTTAGTGCTCAGGATAACTAAAGAAGCAGTCCTGCTTGCTTTGAACACAGCCCAGTGTTTACCATAGGCTCCTGGTAAAGAGCTCTTCAGCTCTTCCCCTCTCCTCCCCACTTTTGTGCTTATAAATCAATGGGACCCCAGTATTAGTCACCATAAATGATAATTAGTGAGTACAAGTCTCTGCCTTCATAGATTGCTTTGTGCCTCAAATTCAAGCGAAGCCAAAAGCTTGGCACACATGACAGAAGCAGGCGTTGTTTGACAGGACCCCTTTCTCACAACGTGCATAAGTGTGAGCATGAGATCTAGATTCTGTACCCTTCCCAGCTCTTATAAGATTAGGCAAGAGAGGAGGCTGAAAGTAAGGCTATATACTCATTTCATGGTTTCCTTTCTTGGACTAAAGAAATGTATTTGGAACCTGGAGAATTTGAAACAGCAATAGCTCCTTAGTGGTATTATCTTGGGACTCAGATACTATAAAATACTTAACCCTCACAGGTGGCAGCTGAGTAAGAGTCTTTTACTGACATTTGCTCTGTCTGCCAAGAAAGTCATAGTTTATGCCTTCACCAGCCATCTGCCCAACTGGAAAATTCATTTCCTGCTCTGGCAGGGTGCATGGTCAAGGGCATTGCTGCCCCCAAGGAAAGAAAGACTGTTCGCAGTCTGAGTCCCCCGCTTAGGAACTTCCTTCCCTGCGGCACAGACACTGCTGGCCTGCCCAGAGGTGCCCAGCTTGTGTATTTATGGCACTGGAGTTGCTCATTTATGGCTTTGGAATCGCTCATATGCGGCTGGCTGGTATTTTTTTCCCATCACATGGTGTTACTTCCAGTTTTTGAGCCTCTCATATCAACAACTTTGCTATTTTTAAGTAGAACAACCCCAAGCCAAAGTAGCTAATCAGAGGAGTAGAACCTCACCAATTCCAGCAGAGTTTGTCCCCACCACCTTGGGGGAGGGGGGGGAGGGGGTGGGAGGGACCTGGAGTAGACACTAGAAGCCAATTTCCTCTTCCATAAGATAAAGGTCTAAGTTTGGATAGTCAAACCTAAGATGCCATCAGTTATAAGAAATGTCATCTTTCGTGTCTCAACAAGAAAATTCTAAAAATGGCCACTGGCTAAATTTTCCCCAAAATTATCATAAAGTGACAGTGCTACCTCTTCCTTATTTGAAACTACAGAAATGATCCTGATATACTACATCTTCCTTATTTGGAAGACTTTTTTCTTTCTTCTGCCTAATTGCTCTGGCAAGGATTTCCAATACTAAGTTAATAAATTGGGGGAAGAGCTGGTATTCTTGTTTGCGTTCTGATCTTAGAAAAGATTTCAACATTTTACCTTTGAGTATGATGTGAACCATGGACTCACCACCTGGCACCTATTATGTTGAGTATTTTCCCTCTCTACTCAGTTTATTGAGTGTTCTCATAAGTAGACACCGACCTTTCTCATGCTTTTTCTGTATCTGTTGAGATGATCATGTAAGCACATCAACCATAGACTGTGGTTTGATCCAAGAACATGAAATAACACTTTACATAGCCTTTAAAGGATCAGTTATTCAATTGTGTAGGGTTTACTGCAGTCAGTTGAGAATAATGATTTACCATAATTGACATGTCCTTTATATGCAAATCGTCACTTCTAAAAGGTCTCACATATGTGATGTCTGCCTTCCTAGCAATTGGAGAAGCTGGTACCACTGTCTGCAGCTACTTCCTCATCACAGTACAAAAAGATAGTTAAAGCATCACAGTTCCTAACCAAAGCCGACACAACTTGAAGTGCATTCATAGCAAAATGCAAACCCAGAGCAGCTCAAAACCCTGAGCTCCTGATCTTGGACCTGTTCTTGAGTAGCAGACATGGTAAATGAAACTGGACTGTCACCCCCACCCATAGTTTTTGAGTACATGAAAATTGTTTTATTCTCTAAATGTTTAGAAACATGACGATGAAACTTTTTCAGTGCACAGGAGACCCCAACCCCTGGTCCTGGCCACTCTGAAGCCAGTCCAGAGGGAGAGAAAATGGAGGTCAGCAAGACTTCCCCAGGGGACAGTGCTGTTAAGGGAACTGCTCTACTTTGTAGTGCTGAATATCCTGTTTACAGGGACAAATAACTCGTGCATTTCATTCCTGGGAGGACATGTATGACAAAGGGCATTCAGACCAAAACGCCCACAAGAAGGAATTAGCAAATCCAAATCATTGAAGATCTTCATCCTCAAGCCCTTGACTTATGGTTATTATGACAACTTTCATAAATTTGCATTCCAGGGGCCTTGTATAAAGATTGCTGGAAGATAATGCATGATAGTTATCTTTT